ATTCTAATTTTCTTTCAGGGATTCATACAAAAGGTTGTCATTTAAATAGTTGACTTAGTCTAAATTTATACTGAGGAAATTTAACTTTTGTTCTTGATTGTTGCTTTTTGAGAAAGAAATTCCAACTTGTTGAAATAGCTTATAAATCCATGTAATCATTAGCTCTAAAGGCAGGAGGTTGAGTGTTAGATAACCTCTGTCCCTAGTTCTCTGTTCAAGTAGCCTAGGACAGAGCTTTTTGTCTTTTAGTCTTCCTATTGTATCAACCTTCATATATATATATATATATATATATATATATATATATATATAGCATCAATACAATCACGACTGTGTAGGTTGAATATACTGTTTTCTCTCTCTCTCTCTCTCTCTATCTGTGTGTGTGTTTACACACGCATCAATACAAGCACATCAATGTAGCTGTTTTATTCAACATGTTCTTAATGCTTATCATGTCTTTATCAGATTGAAACTCTAGAGAATTTTGAAAAAGTTTCTACAAGTGAGGAGCGCCAGTCATTCATTGAGAAGCTTGATCAGGTTTAACCTTTTTCCTTGGGCAATTGAATAAAAAATGTTATTGATAAGAACATTGACTTAAGCCTTTTGTATATTTTGTCAGGTGCAAGATTGGTTGTATACAGATGGTGAGGATGCCAATGCTGCAGAGTTTCAAGAGCGTCTAGATCAGTTAAAAGCTGTTGGAGATCCAATTTTCTTAAGGTTTGTTATATTTTGCCCAATTATATTAATTTTACCCTAAACGGTTTAAATTTGATAGTGTTTTTCTGAATTTGTGAATATCTGTTTCAGGTTAAAAGAGCTTACAGCTCGACCAGCAGCAGTTGAGCATGCTCGTAAGTATATTGATGAGTTGAAACAGGTACATCTCATGTGAAGTGACTCAGCTTTTTATTTTCTTCTTGTCTATGTTCTTTTTGAATCCAATTTTTTGTTAGGGTTGAATTATGTCGATTGATCCTCATAGTTAATCACTCCTAAATTGTGTTTGGGGGAAGAATTAAGGAATTTGAAATATCTGAAATTCAAATTGCTTTAATTGAAATTTCTTTCATTTTAATCCTTTGTTTAGATAAATCAGTTCATTTTTTAAATTTCAAACTTAGTTTGGATAGAGTCACCATATTCCAATTCTCATTTTTAACAAGAGGGGAGAAAGAGAGGAGAGAGAAAATGGGCGAAAAGCAAGGAAATAGAAATGGGAAAGGGGGTTGAAATGAGATGATGGTAACGAGAGAAAATGGGGAGAGAGGAGAAAGGAAAAGGAGAGAGAGAGTGAGCTTGAATTAAATGCATGTTGAATTTTATATAATTTGTATAATCTAAATACTTTAACAAATACTTTTTACATTTATTCAGCATATTTCACAAATTCTATACCTTTTGCTAATCCCTTTGATGCATGTGTAAGTTCTTGTTGTAAGTTTATGTTGGATCAATAGAAGCTGTAATATGGTAAACAAAAATATTTTCTCTATTATTTCTATTACATTAATTAACATATTTCATTTGAAAGAATGTAGAGAGTGGTAGTTGCCCTCGTTGAGATGTTAGATACGACAGATAAACAACTTTCATTTAAGTGGTGATCTGTTATTTTATCCAGCTTTCATCATATCAGCATTTATGCACTCATTCCTGTTAAATCATTTGTACACATTCAAACCACTTCAGGAAATCATATAATAAAATCACAATCCATTGAAAAGGCATTAGTTAGGTGAACTAAAAATGTCCCTCGAACTATTGCTTGTGTCTGGAGCATAAATTATATATTGAGAATTTCTGATTTATAAGTTTTTATATTCAGCTGCTGCTGCGGGCTATTTTTTTGATGTAATGTAACTTGATACATTTATGACTTGTGCAGATTGTTGAAGAGTGGAAAGCAAAAAAGCCTTGGCTTCCGCAAGAACGAGTAGACGAGGTATGGTTTAACTTAATTTTGATGATCTATTGATGCTGATATGTCACCTTCAGAAAGCTCATTGTTGTTTTGTTTTTAACTTACAAGGTTATAGAAAGTTCTGAAAAATTAAAGAATTGGTTGGACGAAAAAGAAGATGAGCAAAAGAAGTAAGTTCTTGTTCTATTACTTTAGTTGTTATTGGAGCTGCAATTAGTTGTTTACTTTGTCATTTCAATATTTTGTCATGTCGTGAGCGGATGCCTATATAAACATTTACCTCTACTTTCCTTTATTTAGAAATAACATTCCATGAAAAAGTTCATCCATAACATAATAGGAAGAAATATTGATTAAAGAAAATCAAACTACAAAATCAAATAATTGCCGAATTATTTTTTAAGAGGAAGAAGATAATGCAAAGGATGTTTGAAGTTCCCATGCTCAGAGCCGAATTCCAATAGAGAGAAAAGTCCTCTTCGTAATAACAACCCAACGATCAAAATCTATCCCCCAGTCTCCTCTCGGTGCTCACTGTAACCGAATTCACACATCACAAAACATGTGCTTCTCTCTCTGCCACCTAATCATTTATTCCTCGCCCCTTTTTATTTCTGAATGTAGACACTCCAAATTGTGGGTTTGGTATTGTGTTATGGCTGGACTTTGAGGGCCTAAGTTAGGTTCTATGGTATTATGAATCGAAGTTTATCTTTGAAAATGGTTGCCTTTTCATCTGTACAGTTAGCTTGTATAGCACAAAATCACTGGCAATGGGCTATATAATGAAATAGTTTGGGTTAAATTGAGGTTATTTGTGTATGGAAGTTGCTACTGCTAACAGAATATGTATGTAATGTGCAGCGTATTGTGCTACTCAGAGTCTGTGGAATTCTTGAATAAAGTTCAGTCTTTTATAATATTAAAATAACCTAGACACCACTTCTTTTGAGCTTTAAGATTTTTCTTTGCAAGGTCTCTTTGTCTGTTGTGTTATATCCATTTTCTAGATAATTTTCCTAACATTGTTCATTTGAGGGTGAGTCTCCTTCTCTTCAATGTCCACGAAGACTGTAAAAGATGACCAATGGATCATCTGAATCATATCATTGACGACTTTATAGATCACTACCCCTCTTTTAGATCATATTATGCTTTTTTAACCATGCACTTCCGAATATTTAAGGAAATGGACTACTCTAGGTTTGTAAAGTATTCGCTTTTCCACTTTACTGACTGCCAAAGTGAGTTTGTCGACTGAGGAAATTGCATTGTGCTCAGCTCGTAACATTTTTAATGTTGTTGGTTATTAATTTCCTATTCTGTACTTGTTTTGAAGGACTTCTGGATTCAGTAAGCCAGCATTTACATCCGAAGAAGTATATTTAAAGGTGCTCGATCTGCAAAACAAGGTAACCTGTCTCTTCTACTTGTCTAAATCAACACAACATTGCCATGTGATTTTACAAGTAGTGCCATTTATTTTTTGTTAATGACCTTGTTTCCTGTACATATACAGGTTACCAGTATTAACAGAATTCCCAAGCCTAAGGTTCAGAAGCCTGAAAAGAATGAAACAGAGAGCAATGAACAAAATACGGATGATTCCAATTCTACCTCAACGGACAATTCCTCTTCAAGTGATTCATCTGCTGACAGTTCAGAAGGGGCAAACGAAGAAACTGTTACTGAGCAATCTGAAGGTCATGATGAGCTATGATTAACTGGGAATATGCATGTAAGTCCAGATTTATTCATGTAGCTGAGAGCTTTTATAATCAAATGTAGAATGGTAATGGTAGAATTAATAGGTGAAATGGAGGCAGTGTCAGTTCTCAGCTAGCAAGATAATAGAGTTGAGGCAACATTTGCTTGCTGGTTGAGTGCTAAATTTTTGAGGTTAGATGGGTCCTTGTAGAAGATGATTAATTTCCCTTTTATATTTAAGGGGACATATTATTTACAGCCATATGCAAAGTTCTATCTGCCGAAACACAAATGTTATCGAAGAGAAAAGACAACACACGACACTTGATTTGTGCTACGAACATGATATACAAATTTTGCTTCAGTTATAATTATAAAGTCTCTCTCCTTGCTCACGAAACTTCGTTTGCTAACAGTTGTCACGTTTTATATAATGTGACTTTTTGTCCTCAAATTTAGATCAAGTTTTTCCTTTAAATTCAAAAGTAATATTGGCAATTTTGAATTGGTATTTTTAATTTCAAGGATTAACATTTATTTTCTTAGGCTCACTCGATGTTATTTAAAATTTTTGGCAGTTTTAAAAATAAAATCATTTGAACAATTGGTTATTTAAAAGTGAGAAGTTGTGTTTTTTTCCCTAAAATTAAAATATACAATATTAATCCCCATAAAGAAAACTAACATGATATGAGGAGACCCCCCATTAATTTTTATAACAACGGATTTGGTTTCCCCATTATAGTATGTTACACTAATTCTTATAATTGTGACACATTAAATGATTTTTTTCCCTAATAGATATTAATGTAAGACATCGATATATCCAAGTTAATTATAAAAATAACTTCTTTGTATTGGGTAAGTATGGTTTCCCATATTCAAACAAACTCTAGGTTGGAATATACAGATAGATGATAACTTATTATTCCACTAACACTATTCGATAAAATTTAAATAAGCTAAAAACACAATAAACTCGTATATATTTAATGATCGAAACAAACTAAATAATCTCTTCTTAACCATTATATGAGTGTCCAACATGTATATAAATTATGATAGTTATACCAAATTATTTAGTAAGAATATTTTAAAATTAATATTTACTTTTATTTGAAATTGAATATTAATAATTTCAAATTAATGAACATGTTGTACACCGAAAAGTATTCATCTAACACCTTAAAACACTTTTGATGTAATGTTCTTTTCAAAGTTATCAAATTCCATTAAAAGTATGGACAATATGTTCTCCCGAATATATTTTTAAAGAAGAAAAAAACAATTGAAATGATAAAATATTGAAAATCTTGTAAAATACCAATAATTTTCTTTCATACGAGTCTTCCAACGCTCAAACGATGGAAACAATTCATTCTTTATGATCTTTTGAACAGAGTTACATACTAGTTGATGGAAGATGATACATTTCTTTTGAACAGAGTTACATTGTTCAAAGAGTGTTAGAGCAACTTGTAGTAGCAGTTATTTTCTGAGAGGAGAACCTCGTAGCCTTTCCCACACGGACACCTAAATCCAAGGCTTACGCACTTTTCAGCCCACTCAACACTAACAGCTTCTTCAGAATCTCCTGCTCCCAAATCATCCTGCAAAACCACATGAATTCAAACATCAAAATTAATCTAAGAAGACGAAGCCAAACATACACATACCTGAGGAAGGACTTTCTCATCTTCGGCAGCTATACACTCTTCTTCTTCCCTTACATTTTCTTCCTCATCATCCTTCATAACCTCATCCCACCATTGCCTCATCTCTTTCAATCGCTCCTTCATCCTTCTCAGTTTCTGCAACCACAAAACAAACAAACAAAGCAAACCCGTTATTCTAAACCCTAAAAGATCTAAACTTTTTATTCCCCTTTTAATTTCTCAACCCTCCGTACCACTGAATCAGGAGTTGCGGTTTCCTCGGCGTTCAGACTCGGCGAAGGTGTGGAGAGATCTGAGACACTCCTCCTGAGGCCCGGCGGCAGGGGTGGCAGCCCGGACCCTCTCTCCGCAGGAGTGGGAGGCGCCGGAGCCGGAGGGTGGTAAGGGTCGGAAACGCAGCGGCGGAGGACGGGGAAGGAGCGGCGCTTGTTGACGAGGGAGTTGAGGTTGAGCGGAATGGGGACGGCGGAGAAGCCGTAATGGGAGAGGTCCTCCTGGTCACAAAATAACTTCTTGGTGGAGGGCTCCCCGGAGAAAGAACACGAGGGCGGCGATCGGCGCTTCATGGGGTTGTTGACCGCGGAGCAGGGCGGCTGACGGTGGCAGCAGCCGTTGTTGAGGTGCATCATGGACAAGAGGTCGGTGGGCTCCACCACTGTCGTGGGATCAGCGTGATCGTGCATCGGTTGTGAGTTTGCCATGCTGGGGCATTTGTGTTTGGGAGGTGTTTGTGTTGGCGTTGGTTGTGGAGAATTTGCGGTGACGGGTTCTTTCTGAGCATGAACTTCACCCATTTTCTTGAACTCTTTCTTTCTGATTTCGCGTTCTTTTTCTTTCTTTGGTTTTGCTTCCAGAAAATGGGAGTCGCCACGGTGAAGAAGGCGAAGGGCTTTGGGTTATATATGTGTGAAGAGTATTTTGAATTTTTAACGGCTATTGGCGGCTTCTGTTTAAGCTTTTAGGATAACCACGCTTTATTAATGTTACAATTTTTCTAAATAGAGATAA